ATTTGTCTATTGAAATCTCTTCTCCAAGCTAATCCAGCTAGCATGGGGGTAGGGGTGGGGGGCTTTAATGTTAAAGTTGCTTTCTTTCCATCTCTGCTGCTGCAGGTGGTGGTGGTGTGGGTTTGGAGAGCACATTTAAAGTTACATTCTTTCCACCTCTCCCTCCCTCTCTTGTTCCCCTTCTTTCTTTCTTTCTTTCTTTCTTTCTTTCTTTCTTTCTTTCTTTCTTTCTTTCTCTCTCTCTCTCTCTCTCCTCCCTCATCTATTTGCTCTCATTGTTTCTCTTTTTACTCTCTCACCCTTCTTTCTTTCCACCTCTTTCATTCTTTCCATCTTTCTCTCTTCCTTCCCCTCCCTCCACCTTCCTTCCTTCCTTCCTTTTTCTTTCTCTCTCTTTCTCCCTTCCTTCCTCTGTCGCCCATCTATTTGCTTTGTTTCCATCTTTCTCTTTTTTCTCTCTTCCTCCCTTTTTCCTTTCCTTTCTCTCTCTCTCTCTCTCCCCCTTCCCTCTCCCTCCCCATCTATTTGCTTCTGTTATTTCTCTCTCTTTCTTTCCACCTCTTTCATTCTTTCTTTCCACCTCTTTCTTTCTGTCTCTCTTAGACAATAAATATCATTAGCAAAATATAAATATTATTGAATAAATATCATTTATATCTTATTTTACCCCTTTTGTGTTTATTTTGGCAGTCTCATTTAAAGTTAATAAAAAACAAATTTGCATATTTTCAATAAAAATGTGTGTGTAACATTTGTTCATGTCTTGCAGCTCTCAAACACCTAACGTTTATTCTATGTGGCTCTTGCATTAAGTAAGTTTGGCCACCCCTGTACTAAGGTCTAGCAGGGTACAGCCATGTACAGCCCTCTTCTGTAATATGGGTTATGTCTGCAATTCTGCTTGTAGAAAACTAAGGCATTTATACTTTGAGTTCCATAAGAAATGCTGAACGGTAAAATTTTATATCCTAAGTTCTGAATTATTATTTTACATTGTTAAACAGCAAAATCAGTTTAAGGTTAGGAAGTATTGGATGCATTTCAATTTCCCCCAAATTTCCATTCCCCAAAAAAATAATTTAGGAAAAAACATAGCTTCTCATGGCTTCAAAAATTCTAGAAAATGTGCATATCTTTTACCAAAGGAACATTTGTGTGTCTATCATACATACAACATATAAATTTACTACAATATACATTCAAGTAGCTTTTCTCAAGCACTTTCAAAATACCATGTGGAAAAAATTCACAGGAAAACAATCTGTACTTGGAAGATAAGATATAGATAGAACTGTAGCCCATAGGTCACCCTGCAGAGTTAGGTGTATCAAAAAAAGGCTGGTAGAGGTCTAGAGTGATGATAGAAGACAACTTGGGGTAAGTCTGATGAAAAATGCTATATAATCTATTTGAAAACCTATGAGAAGTTGGTGATGGCAGTGAAAAAATCTTGCTTCTCCACTACTATTGTGTCAGCTGAATTGCATTCAGTCAATTATTTAGATTAATTAGGTAGCTGGCAACTTCCTGGAATGAGACTCTAAAACATTAGTGACTTGCCATTTAGCTATGATGTTTTCACATGGTTCTTTGCAGACAAAACTCTCAGATATGTCCTGATTTAGACTGCTGAGTTAATTCATACACAGGCATTATCTATCTATCTATCACTGCTCATGTGGCTATCACCTAAGCAGAAATTAGAACCAAAGAAAATATTTTAAAAGACCTTACTCAGTATTATTTCTCTTATATTTGATTATTGTGCCTATGAATTTTGCCACTGAGAGGGTGACACGATCATTGGTATCCAATAGCAGCCACGACACCTGGACTCGCACATTTAGCAGTTCCATATCTTTAAGTAAAGGGGTGACTAAGTTAGCCCTCAACTCATCGAATATAAGGCACTCCATAATCATATGTTCAATGGTTTCAATTGTATGATATGAGCATCTGCATGTTCTATTAGAGTACAATACTTTATTATATCTGCCCTCCAAAACTGCCAAGGGAAGAATGTTCAGTCTTGCTAAAGTAAAAGCTCTTCCTAGTTTTGGGACTGTCAATTGATAAAAATATTTCAGTAGTTGCATCGGGAGGGCAATTCCCAAATGAAGTGTCGAACATACCCTGCACACCCTAATAGACATACTGGTAACATCCAATTTCCTTACAGATTTTTTAATTTACCTTCTAATGTCTTCAGTTTCTGTATTTTAATTATATCATTTGTTATTCCTAGGCATTTCATTTTCTTTTCCAATAGTTGATCCCATTGGCTGTAATGTGTATCTGCCTGGATAATCCCAAATAGAGTAGATCCTCCCTCAGATGTTCAAACCTTAACTTTAAAGAAAAATGCTTTAATCCAAGCCCTAGCTTCCATCGATAACTCACCAAGTTCTGCTCTCAGTGCTATGCCTGAGACACATCTAGGAGTAGCCTATAAGCGTCAGAAAAAGTCATACTGGATGGAATCTATTTTTTCAGAAACGGCCTGAATCCAAATTTCCACACCATACAGGAATTGACTTAGAACCTTAGCATTAAATACCTTTAAGGCCGAGGGTACAGATTGGCCTCCTGATGAGTAGACGTACTTTACAATTGTCTTCCCTACTCTCAAAGCTGTGTTCCTTGCTAGATCCAAGTATGTTTTCCATGTAAGAGATGTTTCAAAGTGGATTCCCAGATATTTAAGTTTTCCCTTTTCAAGATTTTCCCCTTTTTTCTTTTGGTGAATAGTGTGACCTTGGATTTCACCACACTGATGGACAAGCCCTCATGATAACAATAAAGCTTGAAAATTTTTATCAGCTTGCGGAGGCCCACTATTAATCTAGACATTATCATTGCATCATCAGCATATAGAAGGATTGGAATTTCATGCTTGGATAAATGTGGAAGATTACATGCTTCCTTCAGGATAAAGGGTTTGAGGTCATTTATATATAAACTGAACAACAGGGGTGCAAGTAAACATCCCCGCTTGACTCCTTTGTCTAGGATGAAAGACTACGATAGCTGTCCTAGCTCCGATAGCTGTCACATGGTTCTTTGCAGATAAAACTCTCAGATACATCCTGATTTAGACTGCTGAGTTAATTCATACACAGGCAGTAGAGGTATAGCACCATCTAGTCACTATCACTTGGATCAATTCAGTCTGGGTGTGTCAAGGGCACTACTTGTAATCTGGATCCATATCCTCCTTGGCTTGTAAAATCCTGCAGAAGAGCACTGGATCCTTTAACTGACAGGATGCTTCTCTAATGGAAGAGGTTTTTCTAAAGTAGTTATTGGACCATCACTCAAGAAGGCATCGTTAGATAATTAGAACTTTGTCAAATAAAGACCTGTCTTGAGCATTTCCTTTTTGGGAAAGGTTATTAAACACTTAGAGGCACACCAACTCCAGAAATATTTGGAGGGGACATCTGCCTTTGATCCTTTTTAATCTGGATTCAGGCATGGATTCAGGACATGGATTCAGGACAGAGATGGCTTTAGTGGAACTACTGCAGATGATTTCTGTCTTCAGACGGAAAAATGGAATGCATCTCTGCTGTTAGATCTGTCAGCAGTCTTAATATGATGGACTATGTAATTATGCTGAGGTACATGGAAAGTGAGGTGGCTCTGAGTGGAGCAGTATTGAGACCAAAGGCTGCAATAGGACATGCTGAACCATTCCCTTGGAATGGGGGGTTCCACAAGTCTCAGTGTTCTCTCCTGTGCTGCTAAATATAAGGCCCCTTAATGAGACTGTCCAGAGTTTTGGAGATTGTTATCAATATGCTGATGACACCAAGTTATATATTACTCTGAATAAGCCACTGGCTGCTGTTGTCTCTGTCTTGGTCCAGTGTTTGAGGGAAAACATACTGAAGCTGAATACAGATAAGACAGAGGTGACAGTGGTTGGAAGGGCCACTATTTTAAACGAGACTGTTCTTCCTACCATTGATGGTGTGTAGGAGAAAAAGGTATCTGTGACAGCAAACAGCATCAAATTAGGAAGATCGGATTGGGAATTTGGCCCACTGGCCTGATCTGGCCATGCTGATCCATGCTTCAGTAATCCTGAGGCTAGATTACTATAACACACTCTATGGGGCTGCCCCAGAAACAACAGCAGGTGCAAAACGCAATAATCTTTTGTGATTAGCCAATGGAACCATGTCACTTCTATCTGAGGTCCCTTCAGTTGTTGCCCCAGAAGAAGTCTGGGGGCTGCTCTTACCCACCTGGCTTTCCAGTGAGGCTATAAGAGACTTATCCTGGAACACTTTGGGAACAGCCTAAGCCTGGGCAAACAGAAGCATCAGCTGTTTTTAAATTGGTTTCTAAATCATTTTTACACATACATTTAGATTCTTACATTACTTGCCCTACATACTGCTTGTTAGAATTCTGTAGGCTGTCTCACGTACTGTGGTATTTAGCCGTACACCTTAAATGTGAGACATGGGCGAAACAAGCATGTTCAGAAGCATGAACACCATGCATGAAGTATGTCGGCTGCAGCTTCCTGTCCCATATATGTTCAGTCACCATGACAAGCATTGTCATGTGTGAAGTAGTCCAAAGGGATGAGAATCCAGGCCTCTCCAGTAACAGGTGTATCACACAGGTTGGGGAACGTTTTGTGGACATATCTCTAACTACCTGAAGCGAGTAGGTGAAAAAAATTCTTCATAGCAAGTAACCAACTTTATTCCCTCCCTTTAGCTAAGGGCTGTTAACTTTAAATTTGGTGGTGGGGCTGTGGAGCACAGACCAAGATGGGTCTTGAAGAGTCAGGGAGTGGACCCTGGAGATTTTCTGGGGCATCTAGGGTAAAGCAAGTCATATTTTCTCATGGATATGATAGAGCTAGGTGGATCAATGTGTGATGCCCATACAAGAAGTATTTTAACCACAAGAGTCCTGAAGGGAAAATGACAGGAGCACCCGGGAATGTAGACCCCCCCACCCCCGCGGTCTCTCTCACTCACCACGCAGGTTTCGGTGATACCGCTCCAAGGACTCCTCCAGCTCCGACTCTCCGCCGCCCGCCCTCATTGAGCTGAATGAACACGGGAACTCGCAGCAGAAGTCAATGCGGGGACCCCGACTACACGCCGCCAATCTTTCCACAACCCCCACCGCCTCTGGGTTTCCTTGCATTGGGGAGCGAGTGTGTGAAGTAAACCTTCCTTCACTTTCAGCGGTGGTTCTCGGTCACTGTAGTCCAAACGGCTCCCTGGTGCCTCCAAATGATATAGGAACTATTAAGGAGAGAAGACTACAATTCCCAGGATGGACCGGGGTTCCGGAGGCAGTGATGCTAAACCTTGTTGCTAGACAACCAAAGAAACGGTCTGTTCGGAGTTTCGCTGACGGGAGGCTGTGACATCGATATCACTTGTGTCGGTGGGCGGCTGGACTTGCCTCGCAGCATTTCCGAAGAGATTCAGACAGGCTTCCATAGACATACACAGTCCGCTACACCGCCCAGCATGCAACGCTTTAATACGTTGGAGTTTTTAAAAGCGTTTACCGCCGCCATCCTGGGATTTGTAGTTCTGGATCCTACCCCGTACCTCGGAAAACACCTAGTAGGTCCTACCCGCCTGCCGTCACCACAGTAGATTTTTTTTCCTTATTCTGTGTCAGTATAAAGCATAGTCTGAAGGTACGTGGAACCTTAGATGACGTTAATAGATCGCTTTAAGTTCTATGAGATATACGAAAGACAGAAATACAAAACACTACCCGGAAAATGCAAGGATAAACGAGTTTATATTTTTCTCCCCGCATTCCCTAACATGACGTCAACGGCTGCAGCTGCAAAGAAATAAACGAGGAATATATTTCCCTCTCCCCTGCCCATTGTCTAAAAAATGACGCTTGCGCAATGAGAGTCAACTGGGGGACGTTTTCGGTCGCGCGCTTGCGCACTCGGCTCGTTCTGGGGCATTGTAAATCCGTGCTTTTCGTTGCCCTTCCCCCCTCCATAATTGTGCGTGCGCGCGCGTTCTCTGTAGGCGCCTGCGCAGTGGATTTTTCTGGCTCCGCGCCGTTAGCCGCTATATGCTGGGAATAACGTTAGAGCGGTTGTGACTAGTGGTGCGCCACGGAAAGACCGGCAGCTGGAGTGTCCCTCCCCTCGCGGTGGACTGGGTCGGTGAGGCAGAGGCTCTGATTTCGGGAAAGGGCGGGAGGGTATGTGATGCCCGAGGAGACCCTTGGCCGCCTGGGGTGGTGTCTTCCCTTTCTCCCGGAACGGTAGAAGCAACAAATACGGTGTTCTTTCCCCTCTCGACTGTGGCGCTGTCCTTTTCTTTTCTCGACCTGGTGGTGGGCGGGGGTGCTTTGCAGACCTGCCAGACTTTGGGTAGGGCTTTCTTTAAAAAAAACAAAAACAAAATTCTCCTGCGCTGTTGCCTTTGGTTGCTTGGGTTTTCTGTTTTCTCTGTCCGCTCAACACCGTCCCTGTGGGAATGAATAGAGGCGGTTGCTGCTGCTGTATGAATACGAGGGGGAATGGCCCAGATTGGATGCAGATGGAGCTCCTTAACCCGCCGTTTCCTCTTTCTTCCTTTCCCTTCTCTCTGATAACTGACCTCCCCCGGCTCCCCACGTATGCGGGGGGAGGCCTTCCTGCTCCCTACTCAATTCTTTGGCATCGATTTTCACCATCCACCCAGCTACGCACACCCTCTAACCCTCTGGAAGTCATAGGGGATGAAGAGGGGAGATTTATTTTTTTTTGCTTTGTGTGTTTATTCTGCTTTTTCTGCAGGCGTGGTGTAGGTTCTGCTTTGTTTCTCATGGGGTGTTTTTTAGATCTTAACTTTTGTTGCAACAAATTGAAAGGGATATGTGAGTTTTTTCCCCACCCCCCACCTTTGTTTCTCAATTTGCCATACAGCCCGATTGTGCTGTAAAGCATCTAAGTCTAAAATGATGCCTAGCTTTACACTTGCTTTTCAAGAGAACCCAAAGGGGAGGAAAATAGCGAGTCTTCCATCTCTGTTTTTTCTGCTGCTGTTTGTGATTTTCTGTATTGAAGGGGATGCCTGGGAAATGCATATGGCTTCTCAAGCTACGTGTATCGGGAAGATAATGGCTCTTTGTGAAGGCATAATTACAAGATGGTTCATTTTGTTCATGAAAGATGTCTAGTCATTGTAACCTTTTTAGAAAGGAAATGCATGGGTTACAAAGGCAATAAAAATCTTGGAGTGGTTTTGAAATATCAAGTTTTTTTTTTGTGGAAGAGGAAACTGACTCGACTGAGAACCAGATGACAGATCTACAGATGAGCCTTCTTTTGTGATCTCATCCACTCGTTGCTTGGAGCCGGATGCTTAGGGGTGGGGGAAGGGATGAGGAGGAGTGTTTCTGCTCACAATTGTGTGCTCATGTATCTACTATTCAGTTCCACTTACTATGCAGTCATCAGGCAAGATGTTGCTTGTGCATCTGATCAGGAAATTGCTAAATACATAAAAAGGGGGTTGTGGTAAGCTCTGTGTTTTCAGTAAGGTGGGTAGCTGAGTTCCAGAGCTATATGTTCCTTGTTTTGAAATATATTCTGTTAACTGTTTGCATAAGCAAATTCAAGTACTATTTGCTATTCAGTTGAGAGAGATGAGTAACTGATAGGATTTCCTTGTATATTGAATCCTTACGAGTCAGTTGTTTTTTTCACTTGGAATGGAACCTATTCTTCATAAAATATTTATTTGAAAGAATATGCTCCAGTTCCTAGAGTGTGATGGTTCCTTTGTGGTGCGATCATGCAAGCAAAAGGAGAATTTAAAGACAAGGAATTATGTTTATCAATAAGATTACTTGAGAGAAGAAATCAGTATTCAACATCTTTTAAAACGTAAAAGTCCACGTGGATGAAAACTGTATGGTTAAATGATGTCAAAAGTAGTTCCAATATGGCAGTTCTGTACAATATCTACTGTGCTTCAGTCTTGACAGCAAAGTCAAGGTTGATAGCAAAATGAACATGTAGTGCACCTGCTAACCATCACTGCTGTTGTTTTTTAACTTTGTGGGCCAGCCTAGTTTCTTCTGTTGCAATACACCAACAACATTCATGGTTGTGGAATGTACCATTCCAAACAGAGTGTTTTCTGCTTATCATTTTCCTTTGCCAATAGTTCCTTATTGCGGGGTGGAAAACTCGTGTAAGTAATACAAATTGTACAAGTTCTTTGTTGTAGCCTTATGATTCTTCAGTCTTATGCCATTTGGAGAGCTGAAGCATCTCAATTTCCTGTGCTATACAAAAGAGTATTTTCATTTGCCTTTGGTCGATTCACAGGTATCAGGTGGGATCATTCCTTGGGGCTTCTTTCTCTTCTTTGAACCGCCCTCTTGTAAACTCTAGTTAACTTCCATGTATTCCCATCATCGTTCAAAGCGTAAAACATAGAATCTCATTGGCGTGTCTAGAATAGTGCTACCCAAAAAAGACCACGGTCTGTGCCATATCTCTTCCATCACCCCTTCTTCATGTCTGTCCCCATAAACTATTCTTAATATAAGGTTCTACTGAATAGCATTGATGAAAATGTGACCTGTTAAAATGTTTGAGACACTGTAACTTGCAAATAGATTTGCTCTACCAAAATTAAAGACTAGTGCATTGGATTGTTTAATATCTGTTAGCTTGTATAGCATTAACATTGTCTTTGAGTGAACATATCCATCATAACAACAGTTTTGTCGTTTTGGTAATGAATTCTCTGGCAATGGGACTCTTGAATTGCCCCAGTGTTACAGAGGAATAAGGCTGTTTTAACATGCAACTCCGACTGGTTGCTATATATGACATTTTTATTCTCTATGTATGTGTGTTGTTTTTAACTTTGACCTGGTATACTGTGCAATAAACATTTATATATGTGTGTGTGCGTTTGTGTTGTTGCTGCTGCTCAGCCTCTTGAGTACCTAACTTGATTTTCAGATTGGGTTTGTTTCCTTTTTGTTGTACCAGATAGGGAAGCTGAACCTGAAAGTGTATTGGTTAAGATACCAAGTGAGTTCACAGCTGAGCCGCTTATAGTTGCTGCTTTCAATCACTGTGCTACATTAGGGCTTTATAAATATTACTGACACATAGCAAGGTCTAAAAGCTCTTAAAGAAGAGATGGAAGACATCAGTGGATACTTTAGTCCAGTCCTCCATACTTCAAGCATCCCCAGCAAGTTGAAACACAAAACATTTTTTTCTAAAAAAAATCTTGAAGGAAGGAAAGTTGCTGTGGTGTTTATCACAGTGCATACTTTCTCTAAGGCTTAATCTAGATGTTTAAGCAAACCGTGACCAACTAGGGGTTGGCTTGATATTTGAATGAACATAATTTGTGGGCATTGCTCCACATCCAGAGGCCACTCGTATAGTGATGGAAGCACTGAGTACAAGTAGTTAAGTTTGAACTGAGCTCAGTAGTTAAGTTTTAAACATTAAAGCATTTCCTATAATTTAAAAATGTTTCTCAGCCTGTTCTAAGGAGTGATCAGTTTTCCCATCTTTGATCTAAAATAATGAGTTTTCTGAGCAATAGTATGTCATAAGCAGTGACTTATTAATGTAGTTGTCTATTCTGAAAAGCAAAGGCAAGAGTAATGCTGAATAAGTGAGGTGTTTAAACTGGGCTCAAATCACTACCTTGGCTTACTATGGAGTCTCTATTCATGCACCCTGCCAATCCCTCCTCTATCTCTGGCATGCACTGAGGCCTTGGGGGGAAGAAGCAAGGATTTCTGTCCGCTGTACTAGTGTGTAGAGAAGATATAGGTCAAGACGCCTGTCATTTCTTAGCATTTCAGAACAGCAGCAAAGAGACAGTTTGGGGAAAGAGACTGGGGGGCTGGAAGTCCTCATCAGAGGAGTGGGACACACTTGTTCTTCATGATCTAGCAAGTGGATTTGTAGATGCTTGCATGCAATAGTTTAATTACATGTAATAGCTTAATTATGAATTCCATCTGGGTTTTTTTGGGGTAAACTATTCTAGCTTTGCAAGGGAGAGAAGCGAATCTCTTTTAAACATCTTAGC